GGGACTCCCCACTCCCACCCCACATTCCACGGGCAAAATTCCTCACCCACCCCAGAGAAGAGGAAGATTCCCACCCCAAGAGGCACAATTCCCCCAAAACCCCCCCCCGGGGCTGCGGGGTGAGGGCGAAGCAGCGGCAGCAGCAACAAGGGGGTGCCCCCCGCCCGCTTTTGGGGACAGTCCTTGTGCTTTTGGGGACTTCGGGGTCCCCCGGGGTGGGGTTTGGGGTCAGTCGAAGCCGTGCCAGTCGCTCTGCTCCGAGTCGTATTCCAGCTCGGCTCCCACGCAGCGCACCCCGTCCAGGAGCATCGGCGTCCCGTGGTGGCGGTCTGGGGACGTCGGGGGACAGGGCTCGGGGACAGCTCGCTGTCCCTTTTGAAGGGGTTTTGGGGGGTTTTAAGGGGTTTTGGGGGGTTTTTAGGCTCGCAGGGGTTGGTTCATCCCAGCAATGTTGGGCGCGGGTGGGTGGGGGATGTGCTGTCCCTTGTGTCACCGCTGTGGTGACCGTCTCGGGGGGCTGGGGGTGGCTGGGATATGGGGTGGGGGACACGGGGAGCAAGGGGGTGTTGGGGTTTTTAGGGAGGGTCCCAGGGATGGGGGAATCCCAATGAAAAAGGGGTTCCAGGGACAAAGGGGACATCCCAGGGACAAGTTGGGGGTCCCAGGGACAAACCCAGCCAAGCACAGGGACCCCGGGGACATTGGGGTCATCCTTTACCCCCTCCCTTCACCCCTTCCCGGGGCTCTCCTCAACCCCCAGGCTGGGGAACTTTTGGGATGAAATCACCCGTTTTGGGCAATTCCTCAGCAGGGACAGCGCCACGCCTGAACTGGGACAACTGGGAAGAGTGGCTGGGCCTGGGGTGGGGAGAAGGGGACAGGGAGGGACCCCGGGACCCCCTCCCAGAGCCCCTTACCCATGACCCGGGCCTGGACGGTGACCTTGATGTGGGTGGGGCTGTGTCCGGCCAGGAGCAGCTCCTCCTTCAGCACGCCCTCCTTGTGCGCCGTGTACTCGCAGCGCACGTTGTGCCCTGGCACCGGGGACACCCAGAAGCTGCCGGAGCCCTGCCCGTGCCCTCCTCACCCTGCCCGTGCCTTCCTCACCTGGTCCGTGCCCTCCTCACCCTGCCCGTGCCCTCCTCACCCTGCCTGCACCTTCTGGAACCTTCCCTGAACCTTCTCTGCCCTGCCTGTGCCCACCTCACCCTGCCGGCACCTTCTGGAACCTTCCCTGAACCTTCCCTGCCCTGCCCGTGCCCTCGTCACTCTACCTGCACCTTCCAGAACCTTCCCTGAACCTTCCCTGCCCTGCCCGTGCCCTCCTCACGCTGCCTGAACCTTCCAGAACCTTCCCTGAACCTTCCCTGCCCTGCCCGTGCCCTCGTCACTCTACCTGCACCTTCTGGAACCTTCCCTGCCCTCCCTGAACCCTTCCTGTCCTTTTCTGCCTATGCCTTTCCTGCTCTCCCTAAACCCTCCCTATCCTTCCCTGCCTGTCCCTTCTCTGCCCTGCCTGTGCCCTCCTCACGCTGCCTGAACCTTCCGGAACCTTCTCTGCCCTGCCCGTGCCCTCCTCACCCTGCCCGCACCTTCTGGAACCTTCCCTGAACCTTCTCTGCCCTGCCCGTGCCCTCCTCACCCTGCCTGCACCTTCTGGAACCTTCCAGAACCTTCCCTTCCCTGCCCTGTGCCCTCCTCACGCTGCCTCTGCCTTCCTGAACCTTCCCTGCCCTCCCTCAACCTTTCCCACCCTGCCTGGGCCTGCCTGCACCTCCCGGAACTTTCCCTGCCCTCCCTGAACTCCCAGCTGCAATCCCATCTCCAATCCC